TCAATCAATGTGATACACAATATTAACAAATTAAGGAGTAAAAACCATATGATCATCTCAATAGATACAGAAAAAGCTTTAGACAAAATTCAACACCCATTTATGATAAACTCTCTCCAGAAAATGGGCATAGAGGGAACCTACCTCAACATAATAAAGGCCATATATGACAAACCCACAGCAAACATCATACTCAATGGTGAAAAACTGAAAGTATTTCCTCTAAGATCAGGAACAAGACAAGGATGTTCACTCTCATCACTCTTTTTCAACATAGTTTTGGAAGTCCTAGCCATGGCAATCAGAGATGAAAAAGAAATAAAAGGAATACAAATTGGAAAAGAAGAAGTAAAACTGTCACTGTTTGCAGATGACATGATACTATACACAGAAAATCCTAAAGATGCTACCATGAAACTACTAGAACTAATCAATGAATTTGGTAAGGTCGCAGGATACAAAATTACCACATAGAAATCTGTGGCATTCCTATACACTAACAACAAAAAATCAGAAAGAGAAATTAAGGAACCAATCCCATTTACCATCGCAACAAAAAAAATAAATACTAGGAATAAACCTACCTAAGGAGGCGAAAGACTTGTACTCAGAAAACTATAAAACACTAATGAAAGAAATCAAAGATGACATAAACAGATGGAGAAATATACCATGTTCTTGGATTGGAAGAATCAATATTGTGAAACTGATTATACTATCCAAAGCAATCTACAGGTTCAATACAATCCTTATCAAACTACCAACGGCATTCTTCACAGAATTAGAACAAAAAATTTTACAATTCGTATGGAAACACAAAAGACCCCGAAGAGCCAAAGCAATCTTGAGAAAGAAAAATGGAGCTGGAAGAATCAGGCTCCCTGACTTCAAACTATACTACAAAGCTACAGTAATCAAGACAGTATGGTACTGGCAGGAAAACAGAAATATAGATCAATGGTATAGGACAGAAAGCCCAGACATAAACCCATGCACATATGGTCACCTAATTTATGACAAAGGAGGCAAGAACATATGATGGAGAAAACACAGCCTCTTCAATAAGTGGTGCTGGGAAAACTGGACAGCTACATGTAACAGAATGAAATTAGTACACTACCTAACAGCATACATAAAAATAAACTCCAAGTGGATTAAAGACCTAAATGTAAGACCAGATGCTATAAAACACTTAGAGGAAAAGACAGGAAAATACTCTTTGACATAAACCACAGCAAGATCTTTTTTGACCCACCTCTTAAGAGTAATGAAAATAAAAACAAAAATAAACAAATGGGACCTAATGAAACTTAAAAGCTTTTGCACAGCAAAGGAAACCACAAGCAAGATGAAAAGACAACCCTCAGCATGGGCAAAAATATTTGCAAATGAAACAACGGACAAAGGATTAATCTCCAAAATATATAAACAGCTCATGGAGCTCAATATGAAAAGAACAAACAGCCCAATTAAAAAATGGGCGGAAGACCTAAATGGACATTTCACCAAAGAAGACATACAGATGGCCAAGAGGCACATGAAAAGATGCTCAACATCACTGATTATTAGAGAAATGCAAGTCGAAACTACAATGAGGTATTATTACCTCACACTGGTCAGAATGGCCATCATCAAAAAATCTAGAAACAATAAATGGTGGAAAGGGTGTGGTGAAAAGGGAACCCTCCTGCACTGTTGGTGGGAATGTAAATTGATACAACCACTGTGGATAACAGTATGGAGGTTCCTTAAAAACTAAAAATAGAACTACCATATGACCCAGCAATCTCACTATTGGGTATATACCTTGAGAAAACCACAATTCAAAAAGACACATGCACCACATGTTCATTGCAGCACTATTTACAATAGCCAGGACATGGAAGCAACCTAAATGTCCATCGACAGATAAATGGATAAAGAAGATGTGGCACGTATATACAATGGAATATTACTCAGCCATAAAAATAAACGAAATTGAGTTATTTGTAATGAGGTGGATGGACTTAGAGACTGTCATACAGAATGAAGTAAGACAGAAAGAGAAAAACAAATACCGTATGCTAACGCATATATATGGAATCTTAAAAAAAAAATGGTACTGATGAACCTAGTGGCAGGGCAGGAATAAAGACATAGATACAGAGAATGGACTTGAGGACACAGGGAGGGGGAAGGGTAAGCTGGGACAAAGTGAGAGTGGCACGGACATATATACACTACCAAATGTAAAATAGTGGGAAGCAACAGCGTAGCACAGGGAGATCAGCTCGGTGCTTTACGACCAGCTAGAAGGGTGGGACAGGGAGGGTGGGAGGGAGGCTCAAGAGGGAGGGAATGTGGGGATGTATGCATGCATATGGCTGATTCACTTTGTTGTACAACAGAAACTAACACAGTATTGCGAAGCAATTATACTCCAATAAATATCTATTAGAAAAAAACCAAAACATGGATGTTTGAACTAAGCCCAACTATATCAGTTATCATAAAAACATGTGGCAATTTTTAATATACCTTTCTTCTTATAGATTAAGCAGCCAAGTTAAGATGTAAGAGATTTGCTTAAAAACTTCATCTGATTTTATACAGTTCATTGTACTCAAGAATTCAAGAATACACATATTGCAAGCACACACGGTCAATTTTAACAGATGCTTCATGCCCTACTGGAGAAGTTAAAAATACAGTACTATTTAATCCAGTGCAGACTTCTGAACAAACGGAACGTTATACTGCATAGTATAATTTAAATAACGAATGAGGGGCAGGCTAGTCAGGTCAATAGGGTCTTCTGAAGACAGCACTCTGCATCTACTGTCTAACAAAACAGCTTAACCCCAGCTGTGGCAATGTTTTCTTTGAATGAACTTTTTTTTAGGGATTAATATTAGCTTCAATTATCTTTAGTCATGAGTTGCTATGAGGTATTTCTGTTCAGCTCCCAAAACTCACTGTACATTTAATTATTTTTCACTCCTTATGAAAAGGATGAAAACATAACTGTTTTTCCTAAGTAAGTGACATAAGATGTGGGTCCCTTTCTCAGAAAGATAAATTTCACATTATTTCAACGAACAGCACAAGTGATGTACACAAAATTTCCGTGAAAAATCTTTGTCTAAAAATTATAAGAGCTTGCCATTTAAAGCTACTACTGAAGAATGGCAAGGGACCTGACCATTAAACCAGCCTCAAGTAAATAAATGAAGCCACAGCTAAACCTCAACCTTGCTGACCATTTGTTTTTTCTTTCTGTAAGATTGTGGGCTTCATCTCTGATGTACTGAAATGTTGCCAGGTTATGTCTGGCATCAGAGGGTTTCTTCATTCGTTGCGCTCTGTCCTTGTGAAACCTTGTCTGTGTAAAGTCCCATATCCTCCAGTTTGGGGAAATTTTCAAGTGCTTTTTCTTTTGATTATTCTCTTCCCTACTTTTGTGTTTTCCCCTCTTCTTTCTCTCTGGGCCTCCCGAATGAAAGAGGACATTAGACTTGAATTGGTCCTCTGCGTCTCTTGTCTTCTGTTGCAACTTTTGTCTCTGTACTCTATGGAACAGTTTCCCAACTAGAGAGGGCAACTCCCGAATGTTTTCAATTGGAGAAAACAACTAATTCTAAGAATTCTCATGTGCTCTCCAATTGTTCCTTTTACATAGTATCCTAGTGTCATCTTTTGGATGTAATACCTTTGAGAAGCTCTCTAGATATATTAAATCAATTTGTAAGATATATGTTGTGTTCTGAATTATCTCCTTCCTGAAGAGTCAGTGCTTTCATTCATCTTGGTCTTTTTCTTCAAGGCCTGGTGATCCCTGGTTATCAGATCTCACTGCAGAAAGCAGCTTCGGTGGGTTTCCTCTGCTGGTAGGTCAGTAGGAGTGCTCGTCACAGGCTTCCTTCTGAGTGTGGAAAAGACATGGTGGGCATTTCCTTGAAGTAAGGGGATGGGGAGGGGGTTGCCAACTTGGGGCCCTAATATCCACATCAGAAGCTTTAGCTTTCCTCAGCCATTCTGTTTAGTGTTTTGTTGTATTGTTTAATTTTCAAGAAAATAGTCTTACAAATTTTTTGGCGTGGTCATAAACATCAGTATGTATTCTGTACAGAATAAGTGGCCTGAGCACCCATCCCATGTGTACACCTTGAATGACCCACGTGTGTTCAGTTTCATTGCTCACCTCGGCCTCAGCCTCACCTGCCAGCTCTAGGTCCAGAAGCTCCATCTCCAGCACAGCTGTGGGCGGGCCATCTCCTGCACCCACCGCAGCTCTCATGGCTGAGCTTGGGCCCTGCTTTTTGCTTTGCTGCATCTATTCACATGCTCCCAGAACATTCCATCTTCCAGGAAACTGTGAAAATGTTTTATTCCTTTGATGAGGTCCTCTTTTCCTTGCCCATCCACCACCTAACTGTTGGGGTTTATTCCTTTTTGAGTGTTTTTTTTTTAAACGACTTCTTTTTTTAAATAAATTTATTTATTTTATTTATTTATTTTGGGCTGTGTCGGGTCTTTGTTGCTGTGCACAGGCTTTCTCTAGTTGTGGTGAGCGGGGACTACTCTTCGTTGCAGCGCGCGGACTCCTCATTGCGGTGGCTTCTCTTGTTGCAGAGCACGGGCTTTAGGCACGCAGGCTTCAGTAGTTGTGACTCACGGGCCCAGCTGCTCCGCACCATGTGGGATCCTCCCGGGCCAGGGCTTGAACCCATGTCCCCTGCATTGGCAGGTGGATTCTTAACCACTGCACCACCAGGGAAGTCCCTCCTTTTTAAGTTTTTATACTTTTGTTTCAGTGGGGTCTCAGGAAAGGTGGAAAGTCACTTCAAACCAGGAGATAAAACTATTATATAAACCATGTCTGATGGTCAAATCAGTTTGGGAAAACCAAATTAATTTATTCTTAAGATTTTTGTTTCTATGCAGATGACTTAACACAGAAAACAGATGTATACTCACAATTTTCAAATATTCAAATCAAAGATTTACAAAAAATCTATTGATCAAGGAAGTTGGGGATAGCCAATTAAATTGTGATGGTTTATGATTATATTTTCCTTTACTTTTATTATTATAGCCTTAAGAAAAACTCTACCTCAAGGCTGAAAGTTTTCTCCTGATTTCAAAAAATCTACAATGCATAACAAAAAGAGTCTATACTGGGAGTTAAGAAACTAAAATTCCAGTCCCATCTCTTTAACTAATATACTTAGGAAGTGAGGCAAATTTCTTAATTCCACCGGACTTGTTTCTCCATCTCTAAAATAAAAGAGCGGTGTAGGCTAACTTAGGAAATGTGTGTTGAATCCATCCATGGTCTAGAGTGTACTAGTTGCCTCTTGAACATAAGGAAGAGTTTTCTCTGGTCCTTCCAAGAGCTAATCCGCCTGTTTTATGGGTGGTAAACTGAGACCAGAGGAATGATCATGAACTTAATTGAAGGGCAGGAGACAAGCTGGACTAGATAAGGTCTAAGTTCCCTGTGAGCTTAAGATGCTATGGCTTGAGGGTATTAATACTTTCTTAGGTTTACGGGCCTGAATAGGGCCATCCTATGTACCTCAAGCTGAGATGGATTCGCTGCACGATAGTGCCTGCTGAGAAGTGCTAGTGGCACTTAAACTCAGGGTTTCAGACTGGTGCTGAGGGTGAGTGGGATTCTAACTGCAGTTACAAAGGTGAGTAGAAGGAACAGTGATAACTGTCTTACTTCCAAAGAGACTTAAACACCAAACGCTATCAAGAAATGACACCTAAGCCAGGGTTTTCATTTCACTGGCGGTCGATCAAGCATCCACACTCATCTTTGTAACTTCCATTTGGCTCCCAGGGCATGCAAATAGAATCGGGGGAAGAGGGGGAAGAGGGGGAAGAGAAAAAGTGCCCTTGAACTCCTTCAGGACTTAACTGACAACAAACTGAATATTAAATGCACAAGAGTGAACAAGCCCTCTCAGTCCTTCAACCACATCTTTCAAGCTCTGTTTCTGAGAATAGAAAATTCTAAGCTCAATTTGAGTGTCACTGTAAACTCCTCTCTGTGCCAGATGATTTTAACCACATATTTATATCCAAAGTACAAACAACTTAAAACGTTTACACTGAGTAGTAATGGGAGTCATGTGTCAAATACAATGGGAGGAAAAAGAGCAAAGCTTTCTTCAGAACTAAAGCTTGAAGATATACAATATCTGTGGAAAATCTGGCTTACGAATTTGAATGCATTGTTTACCTATTCCATTTAATTATAGAGAACATGCATTTTTACCCTTTGCATGCAACATCTAATGTCTCGTTTTTTGGTTTGGTTTTGCTCTGCAGTGTAGCCCGAGGCTCTGGAAGTCTCATAGTTCCATATACAGAGTCTCAAGGCACATGGCCACACAGTTTCCTGTCATTTGTGGCCTCCACTTCCTTTAATCTCTCACTGCCAGGGAGAGGCAGTGAAGGAGCCATCCACCACGTCCCAGAGCAGAAGAACAAAGGCAGTGAAGAGAGCCCTGCTCTGTGGTTCAGAGGGCCTCCACGTGTCAGCTTTCCTATTTGAATACTGTAAAGACCAAGAAAACTGCAGGAGACCAGGGATGGACTCTTGGCATCTTTCTACTGGGAGAGAGTCCTGTGAACTGATCGCTAAGTACAAGCCTGTGGTGACACCTTCTCCTCAGCTTCTAGTTACTAGTCATTTAGGCAAAACCAACCAGAAAAGCTCTGTAGAGGACATAGCATATGGCTTCACACAGTCCACAGTTGCCCGCCCAAATAAAATCCACCAAGGGTTAATGGTGAAGGGGGTGATGAAGATAGCAATGGATGAACACAGTCATGGCTGCCGACTTCTTTGATGCAACATGTCTTAGATAGATCATCGCGGTAAACTCAGAACTCCGAGGTGATGTCCAGCTCTTCATTCTTTGAGAGCCAAGATTCCCCACCCCTTCCCTCCTGGCCATGCTCACCCCAGTCAGTCTCATGCGTCAGCCCCTCAAGTGGACTCATGTGTCCTGGTGAACACAAGGCTCCCACAGCCCCCCAACCCTTCTCGCAGCACTTGCCTCGCGCAGTGCTCTTTGGATTAATGATGAGTACACTGAATATTCACCTGAGGCCACTAGCCCTTTTTGTTTTAAAACTCAGAGAAGCTGACACCACCTCACGCTTTCCTTTTGCTTTTTCTGTCACTTGGCAGACAGACTGCTTTGTCTTATCTTACTTAGGTAGTTCTGTTTGCTCCTCTTAGCTACAGAAAAGAGCATCCTCTGCATTCTTTTAAAAACATACATTTTAATTTTCAAAGAAGTTGGCACTTCAACAGAAGTAATTTTTATATACTCGTTCTCAATTTGATTCCATAGGTGTACCAGCCAGGCCCACTGAAAATGCAGTTTCTCTCATTATCTCCCCAACACTCAACACCTAAAGGGTGGGAATGCTACGAAGAAGCAGCAAATCTTGGAGGGGAAAACAAAAAACAGAATAACTTGTAGGGATGAACAAAAAAAAGAACAGACCCTTCTGCATCGGTTTTTACTTTTATACTAATTTTTCACTTCCTGAATCCATATAACCAATTTTAAATACAACTTAACTAAAGCTAAAAGAACCAACCAACAACATATTTATAATTTTAAACTTTCTTCTCACTCAGAATGTTTGGTTGCTTGATATAGTCTGTATCTTACCCATAAGTTCTAAGAAAAAAATACTGAGATATATGACTCTTTAAGCTACATTAACTGAGGAGCTAAACACATCTTACCTGTAAATACGTTTCTAAACCTTGTCGTCGTTGTTCCAAGACTTTTGGGACCCAGTTCCGAACATGTTTGGAAGGGATTTCTGGAGTTTTAATACATTTCTTAAGCTATAAAGACAAAAAAAAAAAAAAACATAGAAAATGTGTTTTAATTATAACGACATTATTTGAGGGAAAAGCCAAAAAAAGGAAGTGAACCACTGCTACCTCCAATAAAAAGATAGAGGAAAATATATATACACTGAAATTTCATCAAAAATTCTTTCTTTAGCTGTCCTAAATGTTCAGGTTTCAGGACAAGAGTTCTGTGTTTTGGTAGTTGTTGTTATTGTTATACGTCATCTGGCATTTCAGATGGGAATTATTTTTCCTGAAGAATTAAGAGTTCAGTAAATGAACTATAAAGGAAGTATAGAAGTTTATAATTTCCAAAAACAATTAATATAACAAAATTTTACTTGGAAGAAGTACTTTCCTTTTCTTTTTATAAATTTATTTATTTATTTATTTTTGGCTGCATTGGATCTTTTGTTGCTGGGCTTGGGCTTTCTCCTGTTGCAGCGAGTGGGGGCTACTCTCCGTTGTGGTGCCTGGGCTTCTCATTGCAGTGGCTTCCCTTGTTGCAGAGCACGCACGGGCTCTAGGCACGCAGGCTTCAGTAGTTGTGGCATGCAGGCTATAGAGTGCAGGCTCAGTAGTTTTGTCACATGGGCTTAGCTGGGCATGTGGGATCTTCCCGGACCAGGGCTCGAACCCACGTCCCCTGCACTGGCAGGTGGATCCTCAACCACTGCGCCACCAGGGAAGCCCGAAGAAGCACTTTTCTGATGAAAAGTCTTTCTACATATTTTTCACATAAAAAAGGAAAACAGAATGCAATTGTTTATAACCATCATCCCTGGAAACGCCATATGAACTAGACCACATCATATGGAGAGTTTCTTAAAAGTTCTATTAAAAAAAAGTTCTATTAAAAAAAGTTCTAAAAAGAAAAGACTGATCCTTTCAAAATTCCTAAGCATTAGGTCTAAATTTTGTTCATGAAAACTGAGTGACGGTTCTCAGCTAAGCCTTTCTGGGCAGCAGTCTTAAGGGACTATATAGATAAAGGAAAATTCTATCGGACGTTGAGTTAGAGCTGCCTGTCACAGGTGTATCCTACCACATCTGCATCCTAAATCTGTGAATATTACCTTATAGGGCCAAGTACTTTATATATCTGATTAAATTAAGTGTCTTACAATGGAGAGAGTACCCTAGATTATCCAGGTGGGCTCAATGTAATCGTAAGGATCCTGATTTATCGGGAGGGAGGCACAAGGACCAGGGTCAGGGAGAGACTGGAAGATGCTACATGGCTGGCTTAGGTGATGGAGGAAGGGTCATGAGCCCCGCTGACCTATGGAAGCCAGAAAAGGGAAAGGAATGAATTGTCTCCTCTAGCCCATTGATACCTTAACTTTAGCCCAGTGAAACTCAATTTGCATTTCTGACCTTGAGAGGTATAAGATAATAAATTTCTGTTGTTTTAAGCCACTAAGTTTATGCTAACTTGTTACAGTGGCAACACAGACGAAGCTAACACACTGCCTCTAAAATGGAAAGACTTTTAATGTTGAGTAAAAAGTTGGAAAACTTAACTGAGACTGCTCCTTTACTACACATGCAAAGAAATGGCATAATGACCTCTAAGAAAATGCACACAGCTAAACCCCAGCACCTAAAACTGTAATAAAAAAAGTTCTCATACATAAGCATATCTTCATTAACCACTGTAAGCTGAAATTTGTTGCACACTATGCAAAAGGGGTCTTTGTGCATTTCAAAGATGAGCACTTGTCTCAAGACATTAGGCTGAGTCCATGCTTGCCTTCTCCCTCCATACCTGAAGCGCCACTAACAGAACACTGTGAAAGTATTAGCTGCAAGCCCAAATCTATCCTCCTTGTCTTCCTCACCAAACTCCTAAATTATTGGAAAGAATACTGCATTCAGCTAAATTCAGCTTAAAAAGCTAAATTTCCCACACCCCCTTGCAGAGAGTGGAGGCCAAAGGTAATCAGAAGTCACTGAGAAAAGCGTTCCATAAAATCTCTTTTAAAGTGGAACAGACTCAGCTAGCTGGTACCTTCTATACTACTCCCCTTTCACCCCTTCCTGCCTAGAATGCAACTATGATGGCTGGAGCTGCTGTGACCGTTTGCCACCATGAGGAAACTCTTAGGATGGAAGACATGTGTCCAGATGAGCACGCAGAAAAAAGGAGTTGGTGCCTGCACACTGCCTGGAGCTGCCACCATACCCCAGACTGCCTGCCTCCAGACTTGCTTTATAAGGGGAAAAAAATAGCCCCCCTCCCTCTTTTTTTAAGGTTACTGGTATCTGGACTTCCTGTTTCATATATCTGAATTCAGTCCTGGTAGATATTAGAAAAAGAAAAAGGCCAAAGGGAATAGGCCTCAGAACAACACAGAGAACAGGGCAGGGAGGAAGGGGCAATCACCAAGCAAGAGATCAACAGCTTTCTAAAAGACGGAAAGCAGAAGCACGATCTAAGGAAAACACTGGAGCAGAGGCAGCCCCGGCCCAGACCTCCACAGGAAGGGACTACAAAGGGTCTGGACATCAATCTTCTCAGCAGCCTGTGAGGCTCTGTGCTCAGGACTGGCATAAGAGGAGGAGGGAATGGGAAGAGGGATCAGTCTATGCCCTAGCCTGTGCCAAAGACCACAGAGATGACTAGCAGCCCAGTGTCATCCCTAAGCATACACACCCTCACCCAGTAAAAAAGGGTCAGTGTTCCTAAAGAAACTGAATGAAGTGTTTGGGTTGAAGAAGGGTAGCTGCAATTCTAGTCGTTCTGGTTTTCATGGGGTCCCCAGCCTAATATCTGCCTCTCTACCCTCATTCCCTATAATGAAGCCCTTAAGTTGACACACCCTACAGAGGTTACCAGACTTATGTACCCAAAGCAGAGGAACCAGTGACAATACCCAGAATAACTGGATGGGCAATCAAAGATCACTTTCATAGGAAAGCCAGCACTATGAAAGAGAAAGGACAAGAAAAACAAATGGAACAACTAACCCCAAAGGAAACAGAGAAATCAAATAACAGAAGAGATCTTTAATATCCACAGGGAGATTGGAGAAGATATTGCTTCTATAAAACAAGAACAGGTTTTTTAAAAAACCAAGAACAGGTTGCTATGAAAAAGAAACCATCAGAGAAGAAGAAAGAGATTACGGAAATTAAAAAAAACATGACAGAGAAATAAGTTAAAAGAGATAGAATATAAAATGATGGAAGTCTCTCAAAGTGTAGAATAAACAAAATGAGAGAAAGGGTAGGTGAAAAGATAAAACACATATAGGATTAATCTAGGAGATTTAATATGAAAGTAATAAGCCTTTCATAAAGAATAGAAGACATTTTCAAAGAAAAGCAATTTTTATAGGACCTAATATATGTCTTCAGATTAAGGACCTATTGAGTACCAGCATAATGTATAAAAAAGGATCCACATTTACTGACATTTATCTGTTGAGATTTCAGAATATTAAGGACAGAGAGAAGACAGAGGGAAAAACATTAGTTGGCAAACAAAGGAAGCAGAACTGTATTGGCAACTGACTTGTCACCAGAAACAATGGACGCTAGAAGATCAATGCTCCAAAGATCCAATTTGACATGGATTTTTATAACCAGAATATCATCAATTAAGTGTGAGAGAAAGTTTACCTCCCACGCTTTCTTTTACCCAAATTTGAGCATGTAATTCTGGAAAACTGAGAAATTAAACCAAGGAAGAGGAAAAATAGGACTAGGACTCATAGCTCTATGCCATCAGCATGGGGAAGGGAAACCCAAGGGCAGCTGAGCACAGCAGGCCTAGAGAACTATCAGTCTAGGTTAAAACAAAAACCTCCAGGAAGAAGGTGGATTCCATGTAGCAGAGAGTATGGAGAAGACGAATAAATTTAGGATTTGTTAAAGTACATTATTCTTTTGTCTATCAGAAAAAATAAGTTCTAGGGTAAACAAAGAGTCCCTGAAGGAGGTCATGGAACAGAAGACATCAAGCTCCTCCTATGTGTTAGGGACACTCCTGTCTTCATGGGGCTTGCATACCGGGAACTGGACAAAAAAACAATAAACATGTTAATAAAACAGGGCGAGGGCAGAGAGTAACAGATGGGGGTATGAGCTCGGGAGCAGCTGGGGAAATGACTGTGTGAGGTGAGAATGTCTCAAGGACCACCTGAATCATGCTGGGAGGGAGCCAGGGTTAGGAGCTGGAGAAGGGCCACTGCAGCAGAGGCAGCAATGGAAAGGGAGGGCCGAGCCTGGTGTTCCAAACTCAGCAAGGAGGAGACGGTTCAGAGAGGTGCAGCATCAGACACTGTAGGGCCTTGCAGGCCGCAGAGGGAATTTGCTTATCATTTTACATGGGAAGCAAACTGAATGTCTTAAGCAAGGGAATGATCTGATAAAATTTTTACTTTAAAGAGCTCGTGCTAGATTCTATGAACAAGATGGACTGTAAGGGGGTGGAATCAAAGCAGGGAGACCAGTCAGCAGCTCCTGTAGGAGTCCAGGCAAAAGACGACGGTGACGTGGACTATGGTCGTGGCAGTGGAGGTGGCGAGAAGCAGAAGGCTGCAGAGTAGGTGAAAAGTGGAGGTGATAGAATGACTCCAAGACTTTGACTGTTTTAGATCTTTGACCTCAGCTGGCAGCACCCTGTTTATGAAAGGTGGTAGAATGCCAGGTTTAGACTAGGTGGCAGAGAACACTATTTATCTCCCCAAATCCACTGTCCCTCTCTTCTGTAGAACAGAACTCCTAATTTTGAGCTAAGTACATGACTGCCCAGAATAAAGAACACATCTCCCAATCTCCCTGGAAGCTATGTGTGGCCGTATGACTGAATTCTGGACAAAGGCAAGTAAACAGACATGTCTGTGCAACTTTCAGGAAGTGTTCTTAAAGGGAAGCACTGTTCCTTCTTTCCTTTCCTCCTTCCTGCTGGCTGACTTGCCCATGTAACGGCTAGACCTGGAGCAGTCACCTTCTACCATGAGATGGAAGCCTTGTGCTGAGAAGAG